GATAGTGGTATTGCTGGTTTCTGAAGTACTGTATAAGTTTTTAAGTAGTACTTTTTTTTAAAACACTGAAGGTACCTATGATATCAAGACAATAATCTCATATATGCTGCTACTGAGTGTTATGCATTGAATAATTTGAAAATTATGCACACAAATTAAGGATATATTAGATATTCTCCTTATTGCCTTGGTATCCAAAATCAAGTGGTGATTTATGTTGGTATTTCAGAGTGTTAAAGCTATTATTTTAAAGTAGTTGATTATTATGTTGTGACAGGGCAATTCATGTTTAAGCAATATGTTACAGCGTTCTGTTGTACTAACTTCGTGTTATTTTTTGTATATGCTTATGCTAGGAGAGTTTAGAGCAGTGAGATGACCGAACTTAAGAGGAGTGTTGGGTCTATTGATCAGGATAGTTTCGCATCAGTTGCATCCAAGAGACAAAAGGTTGATATATCAATGTCGAGCAAGGTTTGTTCTTGATGTTAACCACATTTACATACTTTCTTATAATCTTATGCGTCAATTTTGACATTAATGCTATAAAATCTATGTAGTATTAATTTTTTGTACCACAATGTTTTTTGGGTTATCTTTGGAAGGGGTAGTAATTTTCAATTGAAGCCACTATTCTTTTGTTTGCCTGGGTATATACCACAGAATCTTGGTCGAATTGGAACAGGTTTATGTTAGAACTTGGAAGAGTAAAGAGTTAATTTTTTTTGAGGAACGTTTGCCTGCTTGTCTCTTTGTCAGTACTCAATATGTGTATTTCTGCTTGATGATGTCATTATCCTTGCTTCATGAGGTTCAATACAAAGCCTTTATATTAGCATAATTTTTTATTTACATGCCCATATATGTGCTTGGCTTTTCCCCCACAGAAGAGACAATTTTGTAGGGAACGCTAAGTAGTAATCTGTGCTTGGCTTTTCCATTTTCTTAAGGTTGGAAAACTTAATGGTGTATCTAGGCAGATCGATGAACTTATTGTAGACTTTAACTCATGGTTTACTGATGCAGGAAAGAAAAGAAAAGCTTGGCGAAAAGATAACTACACTACAGCAGCTTGTTTCCCCATATGGCAAGGTATGACACGCACTATTGTTTTTTTCCCTTCTTTATTTACTTTGGAGACTGTTATAGTGGAGAGCATTTGTAAGCTATAACTATGCAACGTTGCTTGACTTGTACTTTCAATAAACGGATTACCTTTTGATTCATATTTGAAGATTTGCAAACATGAAGTTATGTGTTTTCATTAGAATTTTTGTGGGAAGGTGTTCTGTTATGCATGATTCTTATATTTTGTTAAAATTTGTGATGCAGACTGATACAGCCTCTGTCCTGCATGAGGCAATGGAGTACATCAGATTCCTGCATGAGCAAGTGAAGGTATGCCATTCTGTAGGTTAATCATGACGATAATGTGTACCGGACACTAGAAATACCCTTCGACTATGCACTGATTTTCTGATTTTCCTAGCTTTTCAATGACTAGCAAGAAAACAAATTATTTATAATTGAGTCAATTTATTTATCAATTATATTGCTCTAAGGCTTTGAGCTACTGAACTAATTACTGTGGGATTTCACGAGTCATTATAACTCTAATCTAATATTACCAATTTCAGGAAAATAGAGGAAAATAGAATTTCCCCAAAATACCTCTATTTCGTCTAGAAAACCTGAAATGCCCTATGTATTTCAGATACATAAATATAAATTTATGTTGTATGAGAATGTTTTTGTTTGATAGAGCAAAAATTCAACCAAGGTTCTTTGTCATCTACTTAAAGTTGTCCATACTATCGACTCTTGCTCTTATTCTATGTTGTGTTGGTACTTGTAGGTTTTGAGTGCTCCATACCTCAACAATACACCAGATACAATTATAGAGGTGAGTCGCTTTTTGATCCATGTATTTTTGTATAGAGTTGAATCAATGCCATGGGGCATACTATACTTCCACACCAATAGAGCAAGTTCTACTTCTTGGAAGATGACGTTAGTTATTTACTTGATCAAAGTTGGTGCTATTTGTTTTCCCTGTGATGCATGCTCGCTAGAACCTTATCATTTCCAGCTCATCCCATGCATCTTGATTTGAATACCTTCATTTTTAGTTTATACGGAGTAGAAAAAGTAGTTATTAGCTTTATTTGCTGATGTGGATCCTGAAAAGTGTTCTGCGCCGAAAATATATTACACACACACACGCTTACTGCTAATTCTGATCTGTTACTTTAGTACCAAACAAAATCATTTTTCTGGTCTAGTTTGAGTTGAATATGAGAACTGTATCATGGTTGAGACAGAATTATGCTGTGATTGTGTATGTCTATGTTAGATCTTGCAAAAGGGTCATTTGCATGCTATTACTTTTTAAGTTCTAAAGCGTCTTCTTGAGGACTTGATTGTGATGGCATTGCTCAAGATAGCTTAAGACAAGGGGGGATGTCTTTAAATGCCGAAGATCCTAGGAGCTAACGGAACTAATCATATGTTTTAAGAATGAATTTAACACCTCATTTTGTAGCTAGAAGAGTAATTGTGCTAAACATAATGAGAAAAAGACTGGATTGTGACATATGTGGGACATAGCTGGGCTTTTGGCAAAATGTTTGAGGCCTTAACCTGTTAATGTTTTTGAAACAGAATTAAAATGATGGTTTTCAAATATTGCTGAAAGTGATTAGTCATTATAGAATAAATGTACGTAACGTCTTAAACACTTAATTGTGTGTAGTCATTTTCTACCCAGTTCTTGACTTCCTTGGTATTGTTAAGTGACTATTAGATAACAAATTCTACACTGTCCTGTTTAAGGATGCTTCATGTTTGTTGACCTTCAAAAGGCTAAAAGAAGTTTCTTTGTTTTTTTTTTTTTTTTAATCCGAACTCTTCTAGATCTATAAGAATATGTAGGTAGTTCCTTCTTCCTAACTTTCCTACCAGTAATTTTGAGATGGCAAATGTGTGGATCATGTTCAGTTCGAGTATTGTGTCAATCAGTTCGAAATTGGGATGTATTCGGGATTTATTCATTTTACTGTGGAGAAATCAATCAATTATCGGCTTTTGAATCATTGGGCAGGTATCTAGTTTCAAGTAGAGTCCAGCTTTGGATTGAGTTATTTTGGGTTGGATCTAGTCAGTATTGTACCATTTCATTGTTAACGAGTCATTGAGTTTAGCCGAGAGTTAAGTTGAAATTAGTAGTGTTTGTCTTCTATGCTTCATGTACCTAGAAAACATGTTAGTTTATTACTGATGTATGCACATACTTATGGCTCTAATTGTCCAGTATTATGTTCATATCGACTTCACAATTGGTTGTCGTTGCATACTGTGGTCTACTTTGCTGAATGCTGATCAGTAGATATTATTTTTCATTTGTTGTCTTCAGGAACAAGTACATTATAGCTTAAGAAGCAAAGGGTTGTGTCTCGTGCCAATCGAGTGTACTGCTGGATTGGCTCGCAGTAATGGTGCAGATATTTGGGCACCCATCAAAACTGGTTCCCCAAGATTTTAGTACTCACTTCAACAAGTATACATGCTGTTTAACTGCCAATTACCCCTACTTGCATTGCTTCATAATGCAGCTAATCGCCTTTGAGATTTACACCATTCAAGGGCAGTTCAGTTCTCGGAAAGTAAATGCTTTTCAGCTTTTGTTCTCGCATGGTTCATGGTCTGGAGCTTTTTGTAGAACAGTCCTGGACCAAAGTGGAGAAGCATGAAGTGATTTAAACTCGCGGCCTCTTAATCTTTTATGTAATTAGGTTAATGTAATGAAAAAACGTACGAGTTCTATATGAAAGGTTTGATTGGCCTGATAATCCGTGCAGACGAATTGGGAATCCTTTGGGAGTTCAGTTGAAATTCCCGGTAGAGGCTTTGCCTGAATTAATAAACGGAATATATGGCTATTGATACTGATCCAATAATTTTAATTTAAGCTTGTATGGGCAAATCTATATACTATTCAAATATTACTCACAGAATTAGAGTGAAAGGAAGTGTTTCTTTATGTCCCCTCTTCCATTCTGTGTACCTCAAGGATGCATCACTCCCTCCGTTTTACATTGTTCTTTCTTACTAGAATCTTTTTGTAAAAGGAAGTGTTTTTTTTTATTTTTTTTATTTTATTACTAAAATACTTCATTAAAAAAAAAATAGAAAACTGTTGTTAAAATTAATGGTTGGTAACTTAAATTGGTAGAAAATGAAGTGAGGAGGACCTTGCAACTACTGAGAGTTAAGTCAAGGTTTGCTGGTCTCCAGTTCACATCTAAGTTGGATTTCTTTACTTTGCCGTCACACCAAAACATTCATTTTCCACAATTTCCGTATTTGGAATTTGTCTGATCAAATTAATTGTTGATAACTGAAATTTCTAATTACTAAAAAAAAAACTTTACTCTCCTCTTTTTGACTTAATTATGACAACTTAACTGCTAATAATGATGAAAGTTTATGCTTTGTTGACATGGCTACTTTTTACCAATACTAATGTATTAGCCATTTGGCTAGCATATTTGGTGAAACTACCCAATTAATATCTTACACCCAAAAAAAAAAAAAAAAAAAAGAAGTAATTTTAACATTTATGAAAAAGGATACATATAGATGAATATGTGAAGTACTCCTTACTAATTGTTGTAGACTTATCTCTAATTAGGCTCAAAGAATAATCATGTATAATTAACTCCAAAATGAGAATGAGGGATAGCTAGGGTGATTTGAGCTCCCTCCCGGTTCCAGGTAATACTGGGATTAATTCTTATCACTCGTTCTTCTGGCTCTAAAAAACAAAAAAAAAAGTATATTAGGTCACATCTCTAACTTAATATGTGGTTTGTAATACTCTATTCCAATTTATTCAACTTACTTGAGATTGAATCTCATTTGTTGCCTTTGTACCTTCACATAGATGATCAACCAAAAATAACACATTTTGACTTAAATTAATTAAAATTAACATAAATAAATATAAAAAAAACACAATAATAACCGTTTGATACATCAAAAACTTGAATTGTTCGATGTATATACATATTAAGACTCGAAAATTTATTTTACAAGCCCTTTTTTTAGGGGAAAATTGTTCATAAATAAGAACAAACATTTACCTATACCATAGGGCCAAATTGCATGATCAAACCATACATTTTCACTACACATGCATCCAAGATTTACATGTTCATTCAATAAAGAAAAACAAATCAACCCACCAATTTATGAGTCTCATAAAATAAACCTAAGAAGATTTCTTCTTATAATGGCAAAACTCAAAGCAGTTCTCATCCATCCTCTCTAACACAAAATGAGCAAGCATCCCATTATTTTCCACCAAATTTTCCTTGCACAAAAACTCTTCACTTGAAACTCTTTGAGGGTCTAAGTTATAGTCATGTACAAATACATGTGTCTTCCCACTCTTCGCCGAGGCCTTCTTGTTTCTTGCTAACACACTAGAGGTGTAGATGGTGGACATCCTCCCCGGGGCCGAGTGCCAATGACCTCTTGGACCGTCGATGAGGATGACATCCCAATCAATATCGTAAATTTGGTTTGGCAAGTCATTGATGCCTAGTTTGCATTCAGAAAAGAGCAAGTTTTGAACTGGTTTACACTCATTGTGAGCTTGCTCTTTTACGGAGGATATTAATTCTTTGTACTCGCTTAGCTTTGTTGTGTATTGTGCGTCGTATGCTTCAATTTCAGGGTGTTTTTCTTCCATATATGCAGCATAATACCTGCCAAAATTTATTATTTTAGATGTAACCTAGCTAGCTTAAATTTGTGTGATTTATTTTGTGCTATTTATATAATTATAAAAAATAAATAAATAAATAAATAAAAACATGCTATATATATATGCCTAATATTATGTTCATTCAATTGAGACAACAGAAAAGCATTTTATATAGCTAATTGTGGAATAGGTATATTGTTTTAACTTTTAGTGGTTGGGTTTTTCTATAAAAATACATGATGTAATAATTAATTAAAGAGATATTTTAAATCACATGAGTCAATTTTAATATTCTATTATGTAAGAATGTAATTTAAGTAATATTGTATTTTTACCCTCTTTATTTTCATATTTATATTTTAGTGTTAGACAAGAAGTTAAAACATTTACCAATGTGCAAGCATGCATGTTATATTATGGAATTTATGGATCAAATAATGTGCCACATAGGCACATATATATATACTTTGTGAAGCAATACGTACGTATATATTGATGAGAAGTTCAATTTAATTTTAGCATATAGTAGTGGCATGATTTATTTGTGCGTTATCCTACGTCATATATAACAAGAGTACAATGCTAGAACGGCCTAGCTAAGGATACATGTAAGAGGTTGATGATAAATTATACTTCGTATAAACCTAAGCATATACGTAGCTCACTTTCTCTTTATTAAGAGGTAAACTGTTAGAAAAATAACTCACATCCATGCAAGCAAAATGAGACGACGACATTTGTCTAACATCTGGATGGATAACTAACGTATAATTAAACTAGTAGGCCTAGGTTATCCCTCGTATCACCAGTTGGCTTTAGGATAAAAACTTGTAATTAAGATTGTATGTGGTCAAACTCCCATCTAGCGTAAGCTTATGTATGTATGGTTCAATGAATATAAAATAAAAAAAGAGAATGTATGAAAGAGTCCATTTGAATTCATTAAACTTATTACGTTACCTGTTCTCATCAATGAAAACGGTTCTACCATGGTTGTTAAGAGACCGCCATAACAAAGTTTCATGCGTAAGACCAAAAACAAGAAAGTTACAAGGAGAAGGACACCGACGTAACACATCCGAAATCGACTTTGTATCAGCAATATCCATCTTCTCCGTTGTGTTAGCTCTAGAAGAGTAATGTAGAAGCGTACTCACAACATTCTTAGGTAGAGGGTACCGGGAAGTCGTGTGCCCCACATCGTTAGAAGCCGCAACACCACTTGTAGCCGCGGTGGTGGAGGGAGTCGAGCTCGAGTAGGCCGAGAACGAGTCACGGGTGTATATAAGGGTGAGGAGAAAAATAAGGGTGAAAATTGAAATAACGGCTAAGAACCATAACCTATTTGAGCTACCTTGTTTAAGAATGTAAGGGTGTAAGAGAATAAGTTTTGTGTTGTTTGTGTTATTGTTGTTCTTCATTTTTTTGCATGCAAAAAAGAAGAAAATAAAAAGATAGGGAATAATGAAAATTATTTGTGTTTGTGTTTTTTTTTTTTTTTTGAGTTGATTAAAGATGGTATATATTTAAAGAAAAAAAAGTAGGGTTTAAATAAAGGAAAGAAAGGTAGGAAGTTTGTGAAAAAAAAAATTAAGGGGGGTTGGAGAAACTTGGAGTGGAAATTAAATTAAAAGATGGGTAAGAGAGCTAGAATATGAATGTGACATTATAATAGAATGTGAATTATGATTATATAATATGGTTGATTGATTAAAGTAGTATATATAGTATGTAATTGGAGGATTTTGTATAATGTTATGACCAAAGCCAATTCTTATTGACCACGTGGAAGAATTTGTGGTTAATGATGTAGATTTTTTTATGGTAGAAGCAAATTAGGATTTACGCAATATATGTGTTATGTTGCAAATTTGTTTGTTCATATACATTATCCATCTACTTTGTATTGTCCTTGCAGTAATTTTATGATGTGAATGTATGTGAATTAATTATAGATAATGTCTCCAAGATAGAGCATTCTTTCCATTCTTTGTATCCATAATTTCTTATTGATCCTTATGAAACGATAATATCATAATAATCGAATGATGTTAAAATAAAACTTTTAATATTTCAAAAATAAATTGGTTGGGGAGAAGATTTCATTTTGAATTTGCAGTTGTTAGTTATGTATGTAAATTTGCATTTCTTTTTATTCGTATTACTATCTCGGATCGCACCGTCCTAATTAGTATTCTCTTGTGTTTGCGTAATCCATATTTATTTGATTTTTTTAGACTTTAAAGCTAAATTGATATCATTACAATATCCAATTTAATGTAAAATAATCAATATTATTCTACTATATCGCATAATGTAGCAACTTACATACAATTGGATTGTCTGGCTGAAAACAGAATTGCGTACACTAATCGAGACAATATTTGTACTCCTTTCGCTATTATTCATCTACTAATTGAGTAATCTTTTCTTTAATGTTTCTTCTTTTGTAGATACATCCGAGTGTATAATAGACATGTTAAATGTTGTAAGTCTCTTTAAAAACTTTTACTTCAAAATGTATGGAACAAACTACAAAACTATAAAGACATACAAGTACAACTTTTGACTAAACTTTTTTTTAAAAAAAAATTAAAAGAAGATTTTAAGAGCAAATTAAAACTTGTACTTGTATATGACATGTAATGTCTCAAATTATCAAAATCATAGAAAGTAGTTGTATACTTGTATGTGGTAAATATTGTTTGTGCACGTTTATGTAATTGTGTGAAATTTTGTACCCAAATAAAAATGATGAAATGTGAAGCTAGCTAGTCATAATCAAGATGTGTATAGGGAACCAACAAACAGATATGCCAAGCGAATAGGAAGCTTCAGTTGTTGGAAGGTCCAGGTCAAATATTACACCAAACTATCTTCATCATTTTAATCATTCAATAATTTTATCACCAAATAAATCACAACATTAGATTTTAGTCCTTAAAAAATAGTCCAATTTCTATTTTATTTATCATTGTCCTAGCAATTTCTCTTTTACTTTGTTTACTGTTACACCCCGCATACTAAAAAACAATTACATGCCTATCCACTTACTACAACTCTTAATAAACAACAGGGTAAACTTTAAAAATAAAGAAAGTACTATACAACACTTTTTTTTTTTTTTTATTTATTTTTATATATCTCTTCAAACATAATTTTTACTTCTCCAAGTTACTCCAAATTAAAGTTGTTTCAAGTTAGTTAACAAAACAAATGGATGAATTAAGAATCAAATGAGTAGTGTTTAAGAGTTGGTTGATCCATACCATGATGGCTGCCTAATTGCCTATAGCCCATTAGCCCTATAGTATGGAACTATGGATACTTGTAGAAACCTAAATCTAATTTGATCACTATAAAATTAATTTACCTAAATAGTACGAATAGTACCTATGGAGCATACAATCCATTATTATGTTGTTTTGTGAATAGTCAACTAGATTATTTGGTTAAAATCTTGAAGGGTGATACTGAAGACATGAGATCAAATCTTGTTTACATATATTGAAAATAATCACTTCGTAAGTGGTGTCAATTCAACCAAATTTGCAGGTCCAACCTAATTAGCTAATACTCCGTACTATGTAAGTAGTGGATCCTGAGTTCGACATATATGAACATCGTAATTTAGCACGACTAGAGCATACTAGACTCGACTCGACTCGACTCAACTAGGCTCGACCCATGCGACACACAATGAACCGAATTAACACCTATCCGCATTCAAGCTTATACTGTATTTTGCTTCAGTCAAATTGATCAATACAAAAACAGCATCACTCCATTTCTATCGATTGAGAAATTCAACCTCAACGAAGGATAGAGAGATGAAGATGGGGTTGGTGATCTATGCGACCTTGATCTTAACAATGGCGGCAATCTCTCGTGGACAACAGTTGAGCTCAAAAGAATGCGAGAATTTGGGATTCACTGGTCTTTCTCTCTGCTCCGATTGCAAAACTTTGTCAGAGTATGTCAAAGACCAAGGTCTCCTTCCTTTCTCAATTTTTCATCCTTTTCCCTGAATTTGATATTTATTATTTCGTTAATTTGATTGATTAGGGTTTTTACCCTTTTTAAAATTTCCGATTTTGGGTTACTTTTGCGGGAATTGAATTGATTAGGGTTGCAGATTGCATCAATATGATTGTTATAGTACATAAATTAGAATTAATTGATTGAAGAATTTGGTATAATTAGCTTATGAGTTCGCTTGATTTTAATACATGAGAATGGTTGGGATTGAGGGAGAATTGGCAAGCATTGATATGTACTAGTATGATTTGTATTAATTTTTGGTGTTTCGATTAGCTTGATTGGTGTATGCCGAGTTTTGATAGGTGTTAGTGATTGTAGACTGTTTATGTGTTGGTTAGGTTAAAGTTCGAATCGGTTGAATCGAATTTGAATGAGTGGCTCAATTTTAGACGGAGAGACCGTGGTGATCGAGGAAGAGTTGTTAGTTTTAGGGAAAAGAGTTAATAAGAGATGAGCCTGAAATTGTGTTCAATGAGTTGATCTAAATAGCCCATTTGGTAGCCACTTATACACAGTGGTAATAGGTATATATTTTAGTGTAATTGGGCAAGCAAAGTAACACCCTAATGTCCGTAGTAATCCAAACTTGTATTTATTTCCGTAAATGTACCTTACCTCCCTATATCACCCTTCAAATGATAATGGATGGACATGATAATTTGTAAATAATTTGGGGTGAAATAGCATTACCATGATGATAATAGACATTATTTTTTTTCCCTTTATTAAATTATTAATTACATACAAATTCAATTATATTACACCATTGATTATCATTTACCAAACAGGCTGTAATAGTTTTGGCGATTGGGAATTATAGCGTGAGATGCTGCAAAGGTAGCTAGTGAATAATATACATTGATGGGCTGTTGATTAAAAATTAAATATTCAAGATTTAAAAGTATTTGGTGTATTTATCATTTTATCTGTGGTTTCATTGCTACCTTCTGCTATCTTCCTTTGCTTGAAAATTAGAGAATAGGAGTTAAATTTTCGAGATTTAAAATATTTGGTGTATTTATCATTTTATCTGTGGTTTCATTGCCTACCTTCCGCTATCTTCTTTTGCTTGAAAATTAGAGAATAGGAGAGTATATAATGGAGATTATGTGGATTTAGCCCTTTACTATTGAGTTAATTATTTGAAATCTGTTGGAATTTGTAAACCTATCCTATGGTCAAATTTGGACTTGTCATGGAAAGCAGCAACTTACTTAGCTCGATAGGCCTAAGTACGAAGACATCCATTTTGTACTCTCCATCCACAGTTTGCCACACTGTCGTGTAAAATCTGGTTAGCTGGGAGGTACAGGAGAGTGGTTTGTATTTTAGACTCATTGGTACAAGATATCCAATCTTCTCATTAAAATTTTGTCACCGTGAATGGGGAATCCACTGAGAATGTTTGCCAAAACTATGGGTATCCGCCACATAAATTGATGTCAGATATAGAAAATCTTTGTGTGGATTTGTGCATTGGCACTTTGGTAGTGATTCTAACCTTAGCTATGGACATTGGACAGTAGCGTAGTTGAGCTGGGAATGTTTTGGTAATTTTAACATCATGCTACCAAAATTCCATAACACATGGCTAAAGCAAGATATATAACATCGTTGATCTCTCATTAATTTTTCCTGCATTGTAGTCAATAGTCATAGTTCTATGAAACAAGAACCATGTATACAGCCTATTCATCTTTCAAATGTCAGGGTTTTTGCAAAACTAAAGTGTTAAATGGAGCTTGGAGGCCTTGTATCTCTATGCTTTCTTTTGAAGAAAAGTGAAATGTCTAGTTGAGATTATGGAATCAAACAGGCAAATCTTGTAATTGGAAGAGGCTAGAGGAATTTGGTTTCTGAGGGGAGCTTGGAAACTAAGCACTATTCAAGAGAATACTTATTGATCTCTGTTTTATTTTATTTAAAAGAGGAATCATGTTTTTGTTATGAAGAACTTTAAGATTTGTTTCCTTTTGTTTGTAATGTGAAAAATGAAGCTAAGTCCTTACCATTAATCAGTTAAAAGAGAGGCTGAATATGAAAGAAATTAAGTTCTGCATGGCCAGACATTGGCTGCCGAAGATAATATGCACTCCCTGCTATGAGATGCCTTATTCTCCCTAAAACCCCACCCCCTTAGATTTATCTTACCATTTTTTGTACTTGTACAGTGCTTAATATGAGTATTTGGCATCAAGAACCTATTTATATAATGTTGATGCTTATGACTTGTGTTTCAGAACTGGTATCTGACTGCTTAAATTGCTGCGTGGAGGATTCTGATGATTCAATGAGCAAGGTACTCTTAATGAAGTTATCTTGAACTTCCAACTTAATATTCAAGATTTTAAATTGTCCCATGATATTATGGATCGGAACTTGATTACTTGAGAGTTTGTGTTTGCTTGATCAAGAACGCCAATAATTTGAAATTTAGCGCCATAATTGTACCTCAAGCTGTATATTTGTGACTTTGTTATGCATAATTTAGTGGACTCTGATTACTATGTCCTAGAGAAAACCTCTACTCACGGAAGAATATTTAGTTTTCATGATACATCCCTAACGTTTTGTGCTATTATATTTTGTAGTTTTGTACCCTTCGTTTTCTTGTCCTGCATCTCTTTTTCACTAGAGTGTTGCTAAAATTGAGAAAAGAAATGAAATCTTCACCTCTGTTTTTGTCACAATCAAACTATTAAAGTAATTGTGTTTTTGACAATTAGAAATAATTACTGCAATCAGGTTATTAACTTTTTAAGAATAACAACCATTACAGATTACCTATGCTGGTGCACTGTTGGAGGTCTGCATGAGGAAACTGGTCTTCTATCCTGAGATTGTTGGCTTTATAGAAGAAGAGAACGACAAGTTTCCTTCGGTCAAAGTTCAATATTCTTTCAACTCGCCACCGAAGATGATTATGCTAGATGACAATGGTGAACATGCTGAAACAATTAGGTTAGTAATGTTCTATTTCTCTGGATTTTTCAACTCCCTTAATCAGCATAATCTTTGGACTTTCCTAGGCCAGTTGTTTACTTTTTTTTAACACACAATTTATCATGATGGCTGGGAACAGCAAACTAGGTGGCTAATTTTCTCTTTTTTTTTTTCTTTTCATTTTATCTTTTGAGCCTTATGTAATGTCCTAAACTTGTAATCATATGTTAATCTTTTTGGATGTAGAATTGACAACTGGAAACGTGAACACATCCTGCAATTTCTTCGGGGGAAGCTCAGATCTGCTGCTAGTTAATTGGGTGACAGGAAGCTAGATGTTGTCAAATCATTTATTGCTTTAGTGAAAATTTTGATCCTTTGTTGCCGAAAGAGTACGGCAGGTTGATCTTGATCAATATTTGACGTGCTTCTAGGTTGATGAAATCTTTTTTTTTTTTTTTTTTTTTATGATAATTGTTCTTATACCTATCTAATTTGATACTTCTGTATTATGAATTGAAATCCACACTGAAACATAGAGTAATTTTCTTCCATTCTTGACTTCTTGAGGGCTCCTTGTGTTTGTTAGCTCTAATGGCATACTATAAACGCCAAAAATGTCTCATAAAAAAAAAACGATGGTAAATCAACTTTTACTGCGTAATTTGGTCTGGATTGCGTAATAAATTGAACAATTCCTTCAACTATCCTCTTGTCGCATCCCATTTTCATTTTCTAAAACAATTTGGCTTTCTTAATAGCCTAAAATTTATACTCCCTCTGTGTTTTTTTAAGTGATACATTTTCCATTTCCGGCCGTGTTTTTTTAAGTGATACATTTCCTTTTTTGGCAAAACAATACATTAAAATATTATATCTCTCTCCTCTCATGGCCCCCACCCAAACCCACTACTACTTTTTTATTATATCTTTCTTCTCACATTCATTACTTTTCAATAAACTATTAACCCCACTATCTTTCTTTAACAATTTTTTAATACTCCACTACCCCACTTACCTCTTATTTTATTTAAGTCAATTAAATTGCCTAAAACTATGTGCCGTTCAATATGTATCACTTAAAAAAACACGAAGGGAGTACTCTCTCTGTTTTTAAATACTTGCTTCACTTTTCTTTACCAGTCGTTTTTAAATACTTGCTTCATTTCCTTTTTTGGAAAGGTATTTCAATATTTAATTCATTTCTCAAACTTAATGGACCCAACATAATACTCTCTCTCCTTCTATTCTCCCACTACTTTTGCTTTTTACAAAATTTTAATTTCTCAACTACCCCACTACCTCCATATTTTATTACTTTCTCCAATTTCTCTTAAAACTCTGCGCATGGAGAAATGGAGCAAGTATTTAAAAATGGAGGGAGTAAACTTTAACGCAATTTTCTATTCTTAAAAGTGTAGCTTGAAACCGAGCTAATCTAGTATGTGAGCCTTGAAGTTTTATGCAAATCTTATATGGATGGATAGTCCTTGAAATAAGTTTTCAAATAATCCCAATTACGATTTATAACGAATAAGATATGGTGAAATACTTATCTCAGTCTTGGACCCTTGAACTATTTCGGCCATATTTTTAATTTTGCAAATAATATCGTCTTGATCCTAATTGGATTGAAAAGTAGATTTCTAGAATTCCAATGATAATATATATTTTTTGACTTATTCTATGTTTGAAATAAAAAATTATGATTAAATTACAAATCAACAAAACCAGACAACCAGCAATGCAACGTGATACGCCGAATCTTACATGTCACAACATATTACCACGTGTCACGACACATATTCCCCATGGTAATTCACCTTCACATAGTAATTTAAAATGGTAAAAATCCATTTTGGATGCAATAGAATGATTTATGTATGATGGTTGAAATGAACAGTAGAATTTCGAGTGATCATATTTAAATTTTCTACAGGCCGAAATACACCAATATACCATGGTATAAAATTATACAGCAAATAATTAGATTCAACTAACAATATAAATTGTGATAATGGAGCTCTCTGTCTACTAATTTCAATGAAAAACCTTGAAAAATTTAGGGATTATAGAGCTAATATATAATTGAAGTAAGATAGAGTTTGGATGAAAATGGGCAATCTGTTGAAGTAAGATCTATTTTGGATGATTTGATATTATGTTACTTCATAATTCTGAATTGAAACAAACAAAATACTCACATAAATGCTGGAAACATATCATTTTCATATGCATATATTAGTGGTTAACTACTTAACTATTTGGTTCTTGTATACAAATCTGATAATGTTTCAGCTCGAATTCGATATGCAGAATTTTGGCTTTATAGAACTAAGGTTCATTTTCTACAAAATTTCTCTACACATTACATTTTTACTTGCCAAAAGAATATCAAATGTACATGTATAATGTTTATGGTATAATTGAAGCATATTCTTTCCTGCATAACTGCATTCATATACTTAGAAGATGCAATTCCTATTCACCTTCACTCCCATAATCTACAATGCACTTCAAAGTACAGAATTGTTTATCATCACCAAGGATAGAATCAGCATATCTCCAATTAGCCTTTTACAATTACAAGTTATCCTCATCACTAACACTTTGTTTGGATTGAAGGAAATGGAGGGAAGGGAAGGGAAATAAAGGGATGACCTATCTTTCATTTGGATAAGGAATGAGTAAGGAGGGGAATAGGAGGGAAGTGAAATGGAGGGATTAAAATTGTGAGAAATTGATCTCTCCAACAATAAAGAAATTTGGAAGGAAAACTCATCTTTCTTCCCTCCCTTCCCCTCTCTCCCCTCCCCTTCACCTCCCTCCCCTTCTTTTCTTTCCCATTTCTTTATACAAACACACCGTAAAAGTAAAGCAAGTAGAAGATCCACCACCCCATTCAATGGCTGGAAGGGGTGCGGACCAACTACACACCATTAAAAACTTACAGTGTGTTTGAATAACATTAGAGGAAGGAAAAGAGAAGGGAGGGAGGAGAAGAGGAGGGGAGGGAAAGGGAGGGGAGAGAAGAATGGTGAGTTTTCCTTTCAAATCTCTCCATTGTTGGAGGGATCATTTTCCTACAATTTAATCCCTCCATTTCTCTCCCCTCCAATTCCCTTACTTCCTCTTTTGTAATCCAAATGAAAGATATCACATCTCTCCATTTTCCTCCCCTTCTTTTCCTTCCATTTCCTTCTATCCAAACACACCGTTAAGCTTGTAGGAAAAAAAAAACTATTGTAGACACGAAAAATTTATATACGTGCCACATCAGATGTTATATGGGTCAAATGTCAAAGTATTGACTCAGGTTTAGTTAACTATCAATTTAATTTAATTAGCCCATTTAAATTATTTTAATTAAATTATTTATTCAGTAGTGAAACCTATTACAATTGTTTAAGCTATTATAAATTAGTCATGATTACCAAGTCAAAAGCCCAATACATATCGAACCCTAACCCTAACGTGTCTCACATTCTATAAATAGTGGCTCTCTACTTCATTTGGAGAAAAGAAGAAAACAAATAGAATAAAGAATACAGAGAAAGCCTATCAAAATGTTCCACTTGTATAAGAGGAAGATGTAGTGATCATTAAACCCTACATTATTCGCATCAACACATCCAGCGATAACTCTAAAGACATGGTATTCCAATTAGATTTGTTCATCCCATCACTCACAGATAATGCAAGAATCAAGTTAAAATCTTGTTCTTCCATATGTGGTCGAAAAAAGGACATCGGCGCAATGCTCGTGACCAACCACTGTCTCACCTCTTTTGATTTTGACATTTTCATCCAACTGAATTATTTCTGTTTTATTCAAACAAACTAGACCAATGTCAGTCGCATGGATTCCATGAAAATAACCAACCTAAATTTATCATCTTTAAATTTAATTGATAACTGAAGCTACTGTTAACAACAAGTTCTCCCGCATTACACATTTTAATGGTTGATCAATATTTCAACAACTAATTTTTGTGCTACTGATAATTAAAGACAAATTTAGCATTTTTTTATCGGTGGGTTCAATCTACATGAAACAAATTATATAACAATTAATTTTATATTAACAAATTACGTGAAAGTTGTACCGCTCTTCCTCCCTTTTTTTTAATGGTGAAAAATGGAGTTAGATCCAAATGAGTTTGTGCTTTTAATTAATCACCCATATTCAATGATAGACGAGGCAGAGAGTCTAAATTAAGAGATGGAAATGACTCCTTTTTTCTTCAATATCGACCAAAGCAAAAAAACAATCATAATTTATCGATCTAATCTAATTTTCCTAAATTCTTCCTTTTGGGTTTTACCCCAAATCAATTGATCAGCCTTATGGTTATATCAAAATAGAGCTGAAGTTAGTATCCACCTATCATTAGTAACGCAAATTCCCCCTCCAAATTCTCCATTTTTGTTTTTAAGTAACCTAACAAACTTCATACGTTACAAAAATGGGGTCCAACAAAAAAAAAATAAGCGGTTATAAAAAAACTTATACCTGGAATTTGCTAAATTCTCATCCGAATTGCAATGGGAAGTGGAAATGCTCAGGAATTTGTAAATAAATTGAACATCTGCGGAGATCAAGAACTTGATATATTTAATTATTGCATTTTAGGGCTTACGGTCAACTCGCCTACTTAATTTTCAAAGCAGAAAGAGGAATAGAGCGACTTTATCAAGGAGAAGAGGCAAGGGATCTGAAAATTAATCTCTCGATTAGACTAATAAATGACATTACTTTTTTTTTTCCCCTTTTTTCCAACAAAACTTGTTTGTAAAAATACAAGTGACTTTTATGGAACTTCTCAAAATATAAAAAAAAAAAAAAAAACTCATTTAGGATGACACTTTTACTATCAGTACAGAAAATACTTTGTATGGAGTTGAAAAAAGAAACCATGTTAATTATGAAAGATCAAAATATTTATTAACTTTTTTTTTTACTTTGTACGGAGTAGAAAAAAGAAACCATCGTTAATTTTGAAAGATCAAAATATTTAATAACTTTTTTTTTACTTTGTACGGAGTAGAAAATAGAAACCATCGTTAATTTTGAAAGATCAAGATATTTAATATTTTTTTTTTTACTTTGTACGGAGTAGAAAAAAGAAACCATCGTTAATTTTGAAAGATCAAAATATTTAATAACTAATTTAATTTAATAGGTTTTTTTTATTGTTTAGATGAACGCAATGATTTTGATGAATGTTCATCTCGCTCAATGAAAAATGATGTCAATATAAGCCTTGTATAAAATGATGTTTAATCCTTACTCCTACGGCCTACACTAATCAAATGAGTTTAGTTATGACAATATATTTAGGAAAAATGGAAAAGAAAAATCCAACCTTTTCACTTTTTCGTTAGAAAAATCCAACCTTTTGTTTATTCCTCAAAAATCCAACCTTTATACCCCTCTTTCTCCAACAGGTCCATTTTACCTGTGACCTGATAAACAGGTTATTTTTTTTTTTTAATTTTCTCATTTTCCTTTCTCACTCTTCTTCTTTCTCTCTCCTCTCACCTCAAACACTAAAACCACGGAACCACC